GCCGCCTTCCGGCCTCCCACAGCGCCTGCACTGCCCAGGCCCTCACCTCCCTTGTCGGCATCCTGGTTTTGAAGAATGAGCTGCCGGGTGCCAGGGGGAGAGCAGTGACCCGAGTTCTCCCTCAGGGATGGCAGAGCCACTGTGGCTGCCCCCTCACAGCTCGTTAGAAGTTTCCAGAATCCTGATCCTTCCCACAGGACAGTCAGAGAACAGAAGGTGGCTCTGTGCACTTCCATCAACTGAGACTACAAAACGAAGGCCTTAATGCAGGGACCCAGGTCCACACGGACCCACAGCGGCCGCACTTATACTCAGTCCGACTCCAGCCTGCGCTTACTCTGGGCAAGGAGCCGGGCGGTCGCGCAGCGGCCTAGCGGGCTCGATCGGTGCAGCGCATTTCTGGCAGTTTCCAGGCCTAGCAGACAGGATTAGTACAGCACATTTCTGGTGGTTTCGAGGCCTGGTGCCTTCTCTGTCTAGATAGGAGCCCTAACCATCGGGTCCAGGAGATTCCGGGGGAGCTGGCAGGCGCAGGAGGCAACAGACCCCGAGAAATCTCTGCCACGACTCCCCTGGGCTTTGCCAGCCATGTGTCCTGAGGCCTCAGGGTCTCAGAAGAGACCAGAGAAGGACACCATCGGGAAGCCGAGGGGCTGCGCTGCTGGGACCAGAAATGCTCCTCCCGGGTCTGAGGCCAGGACAGCCGAGTCTGTGCCCACAGCTTGGCGGCCTCACCCTGCCTCGCCCTTAAGTCCAGGCCCCTCTCCCACCTGGCCGCATCGGCCTGGCCCCCTGCAGGACAGACGCCAGCCTCGTCCGAGAGTCAGGTGCTGTCAGCAGCAAAGCAGGAAAGTGGCCTCAGCCTAGCAGCCCCAAAACCTGAGGTCGCAGCTGTGATACCATCTCGTCTCATGTCCCCACAGCCAGTCCCTCAGACCTGCACGGAGCGAGTTTGGGTCATTCTCATCAGATACGGCTGTGACACACCTTCTCCCAGCCAGGACTGTCATAAGTACGCGTGATGTCACCAGGGTCAGCCACCAAGACCCCACGGGGCGGGCACACCAGGGGGGCTGTGAGCCGTGACCCCTTGGAGCCGAGCTTGGAGGCAACCCTCAGGCTGTAGTGCGCGGGGACAATGTTCTTGGCTGACAAGTGAGGACGGGTCCAAGGGGAGTGGCCCCCTGCCTCAGGACACCCCAGGGCTGTGGCTCCCCCTGTGCACCCCCTGCTGTCCCATCCCCAGGCAGGTCACAAGGGGGACCTGGACCCTTCCCTGCAGCCCCACAGAAGGGGCACCGATGGCCGAAGCGAGAGTGGCCACTCACCTTTCCTTGAAATCGAGGAAGACCTTGGCCAGAGTGCCGCCACCAGCCATCATGGACACGTCGATGGCCCTCAGGAAGCTGTGGTGCACCTTGGTCAGGTCCTGGGGGAGCGGCGAGTGCCTGAGTGGCCACAGCCAGGCAGGGTCCGAGCACCCCGAGACCGGCCGCCCTGGTGGGCTGTGGCCACAGACCCCACAGGGCAGCCTGACCATGCAGGACCCTCGTGTGCCCACCAGGGGCTCCCTGGGATGAAGTCTGCACTGCTGAGTGGGGGTCTCAGCCTGGGACCCCCGAGACACCCCACATTTCTGAGTGGGTCGGCAACCAGAGGCAGCACCCTGGACTCCCTGCTCCCACCCACGCCCTGCCCATGGCCATCTGTCCCGGTGACGGCCCTGGCAGGATGAACCCCGCGTCAGGGCAGGGAACGCAGGAAGCTCGGGCACTGGCCCAGCCGTGTCCGGGAGGCGTGTCCAGGGCCCATCCCTGGAGCTGACGAGAGGTCACTGGTTCCTAGAAGCCCGCCCACCCCGCTCTGCCGACCAGGCCGTGACCCTGCACTCAGCCTCACCGTAGCCAGGCACGGCGGCGTGGAAGAGGGCTCGAAAGGGTGAAGGGGCAAGGAGTGTGTTTCCCTCCGCTTCTGACAACTGACAGTCCTTGGGGGCCTCACAGCCTCTCCCAGGGATGGGCGAATCCATGCC